TAGAGGTAGTTATAAATAAACAACTTACACTAGACGAACGCGAGCCCACGCAGTGTTACGAGGTACATGATCTAGCCCTAATCTCTACCACGCACTCCTTTGCCTTTGATCATTTGGCATCATTCTTATTTGTTGGCCAGACTCTAAATCTATTTAGCTGATAATAGCATATATCGATAATTTTCTCACTAATTGGAACATGTAGAATAGAGGAAATTACCGAGAATAAGTTAACAATAGAACAATTTAATTAACACTTCCAATTAATGTCACACATCCTAATTACACGGACTGTATAAAAACGCCAAAACTATATTCTCTGTTATAATTAACGTAACGTAATCTTTGTAGAATGTGGAATATTGTTGTATTTTGTTTTTATGTGCTAGCCATTGTTCTTAGTTTGTCATGTTTTTTTTTTTTAGCTTTTCGTTGCTTTAAGTGCTAATACGTATACTGACTGAAAGCAGAAAATTTCTCCTCTGTAATCATAGCAACATTTTCAAAATATATTAATTTTTTTGTCAAGTATATACGATGTTACACGTGCGATTGGCAAATGACACGAATGTTTACCTATTTTTTTTTTATATTTAGCGTTTCTTGAAGAAAGAATCTTCCAATTATATAGTACCATTATGATTTATAGAGACATTTGGTTAATATAAATATATATAAATCAGACATGATAATCTCTTGATTAGGCATGCCCTGGTGTTGTAAGGTTTAGTATTTTATTATTTTTTCATTTATTATTTTGTTGATTATTTTCAGAAATAGGCTTCCAACTCCATTGAACTGCTTCGTAGCTCGAAAAGTGCTTTAATACTATATACACTTTACCATATTTACAGAATTTGTCATTTAATGGCATCTAAAGGCCAGATTTGAAGACCAAAAACAGAAAATACGCAATAGTTGTGTGAACCAACATAAAATGTGTGGCTGGGTCGAAGGGTATTTATGTTACGCTTTTAATTTAAAAAATCTTAAACTAGAGATCCTCAATTTTACCAGCAGCCACCGCGGTCGTTTATTTACAGCAGTTTAACGCCGTCTCTTCCCATACATCAAAGGTACACAAAAGCCGAAAAAACCGACAACATGCATGTTTTATAAATAATTCTTGAAACTTTTCATTTATCTATCTCGACTTATTTCGATCAGGCCGTTCAGCAGCCTCTGTCGAACACGTGAAACGTAGGAATTATTTAATGATACTTACGATAGAAAGGGAAAAATATATAACAAATAGGTATTTTTTACGGTACGTACACTTGTCACGTTTGAACGGCGGGTCTCAGCATTGATGCTACTGAGGTCATCGCCGCAATGTCAACCATGATTCAACATTGATATAGAAGGACAAAGCACTATTGCCACTGTGCCCTACTGAATTAGAAAACAAATTCGCTTTCATACTTTCCTTATTTAATTACACGTTTCGCATGGTACGGCTATCCGGTAATGGCGGCACTATAAAACGGATGTGTACGTTTCAAATACACACAAAGGCTGCGACCGTCGTGCCCCGGTGATGGCGCAATAGGTAGCTTGTTTACCTAACTAGCGGTAATCTGGATTCGAGTCCATTGGCACTGGGAGCCAGGCGTCTGATAAAACGTTTAATACAATGCTGGTACATGACGTAAGCCCGTTAAGGTACAACAGTCGAATGCCGCACCGTGTGCTCTGGGAGACAGGTTAATCAAATACAAGAAACGTTCAAGAGCATTCATGCCTTAAACTATCTATGGATAGATGCATTATTACTGCTATTTAATAGAACCTTACAACGGCCCAGTTACAAATACAGTAACGTTTAATTTTGCACAAGTTAGACATGATTCGACACGGTATGTCAACTAAAACCGCAAAACGCGTATAATACATATATTGACACATAATATACGGAGCATTATTGAGGGGCTTTGTTGTTAAGCGTCACTATTACGCTAAGCGCAAGTGGCAGTGCTCCAGGTGGGAGCCTTCCGAACAGCTCATCTTAACAGCTAATGACTCATCGAAAAACACTATTTTCCTACTTGTATTATATAATATTATATTATATAACTATAATGTGTTGCCATCACAACATGGTCTGTTAAAAAAAAAACAGTTAAATGTTGAAGACGAAATGCAGTAGAGCACTGGCGGTCCCCCTGGCGGAGCGCCTGACATCTGAAAGTTGCTATCAACCGACTTGGGTTCTCGAGCAAAATTTTTAACAAATGACTCCGATATCAGTTTTCTATTTTCGTCATTGCACGTCGGCTAACGTAGTTGCTTGTTGAAGTTAGCGACATAATGGCCTGGGTTCGAACATGGGCGTAGACACAATTGGTTGTGCGGTGGCAGGGGCCAGCCGTCGGTGGTCATGCCTCACGGCCCAACTGCCAGGGTTAAGGCACGAATAACATATAATAATCATGAACATTAACACGACCGTAACTTCTTAGAAAGCGAAGCAAATGTTGTGTCCTCAAAGGCGATTGTCGCTTTATAGCATCTAAGGTATACAGAAAAGGGAAGCCTTAAAGCGCTAGCTAAATCAGGAATCATTGCTATTTAGCGTTTCATTTACTAAGAGGTCTCTGTTATGTTTAATATTTCCGCTCTATGCGGTAGACGTACGAGTTTCCCTGCATAACCGTATTGGGAAAAATGCTGTGCTCTATTACCCCCTATGGGATTGGCCATTTGGGACATCCGGTATAGAAATATATTTTGGCCATCGATTTAGGGACACATCTAAACACTTCGTTAACATTCAGTGTCAACGTTCAATAATTTCGCCGTTTGAGTATAAAAGTTTTTCGTTGTTTTTTTGCTTCCTCGAGATCAATGAGGGTCACAGAAAAGTGCGAGAAACATCATTCATCATGACATTTCTTTGATAAATCTTATTGTATATAAATTTATTCGTAGAATCATAATTGCGTATTCGTAAAATACACATAATTATATAGAAAAGTGAGATTCGAGGCCACTTAAAGCATAAAGCAGACTCGCAATTCGGGCAAAATCTCCGTGTGAACCGCGAGTAATAATAACGGAGATTCAGAAAGCCTTCAGCTTTTCGGCCATCGTCGAGTCGCCACCCTTCGAGGCTCTGAAAAAGTCATGAACGTGAAAAATACATGACTAGATGTCGGGAAATACACAGCCCCGTTGGCGAATGCAAAGATACGAACAACGAGTAATAGTATATAAGCTTTAAGTGGATCTGGTGCATATATATGTACATGTAAAGTTTACTTATACCCGTCAGGGATTTGCTGTCAATTTGAATCTTATTAATAATACGCTTTAAGTATGGAAACCTTTTATCTATTGTGGGTACTACGGAGCAGCGACGATCGGAGGGGTGGCCGATTTACAAAGGCCTGTTACATTGAATCTGTCGGAGTTTGACTATGTCGTTTGCCATGAAGCAGCTATATGATCAAAGGTGGTAATTACCTAACTGACGGATTTATCTGTAAGGAAGCTTTTCGCAAACGACGACCCTAGCTTACACATTCACGCAAGACATGCTGACTGGATCTGTATTCCAACTGACCGGACGCTCGTCCTTCAGGTGGGGTCAAAAGGCTCAGGCTGATTATTTTTCGAAAACGGACACTACACTGGCAACATGTTCTTATCCGAATTGATACTTTCATTTGAAGCCGATTCCGACTGAGGTCTATTCGCATGTTGATCCAGCTTTATATTTTACTCTCGAGCGACAAGAAGACCGTAAATATTTTTGGTGGTGTTAAAACGGATACGTGAGCATCAGAATGAACGTTGGCAGATTTACTGCGACGTTTCATAGTTAACGATGTAACCACGGTACCGAAAAGCTAGTTAGAAACACTATGTAATTGATAGAGCTTACCTGCTATAGTGAAGCATCTTTGCTACCGACCATGAAATGAAATAGATTAGGCCCCATTATCTACTTTGGTACTTAGCAAGTCTAGGAGTCGAAATCTAGGGCTATATAGTAAGGCCTGCAGTATGTGTAACTAACAAATATCTGTTAGTCCTCTGAGCGGTTTGTTTGAGCAGAGAGATCACAGACGTGATCAAAAGTGCACCGAAGTTACTGACTTCTGTTCATCTCAACTGAGCTTTGTTAAGTAAGAAAGTCATTAGAATGTTTTCGTATGGAAACCAAATATCTAATTGTGATTGTAAAAAAATTTACACATCACGACTAGGGTCAGCAAGGCACGCTCAACATATAAATAATCGTTTGCGATGTATACAAACAATTAAATTATAAACACGCCATAATCGAGTCGAAAGAAGCAATGTCAGGGATTTTATTTCTCGTACTCAATACAAGCTGTATTTCGAAAAAGAACTGAGAGGACCTGCTATCGGCCATTTGCAAATTAACAAATGATTGCTATTTAATCGTAGCATATATAAACTTAAAGCAATCGTCTAAGAAGAAGCTTTTGTTCAGTAGGCAAATAGATGATTTTTAGAAAGCTTTTCAAAAATCCTAGAGAAAAACTGTTCGCAACTTACAGGGCAATGTATTACCTGTTACCAGGTAGGTGGATTTTTTCAATAATATTTGAGAAAGAAAAGGTTTCTGAGCAAAGGCTTAACTCGTATTTTCGTTCTAAATTATACCGCGACCTTTTCGAATAAATAACAGATAGTACGCTGAACGCGCAACTGCGCCGCATGCTGACATGAAAGACTCAAGAAGCTAGTAAAAACCAGAGGCACAAACACAAGGCCTTATAGGTTGCTGGTTCGGCGCCCTACCTCAACTTGCCTAGTTACCGCGGCCATCACTTGTCTCGATAGGCTGTTCTGTGGTAAATTTTTGGGGCTGTTAGAACTCAATCGAAATCAACACATTGATTGTATGCCTGAGAATTGTAGGCGCCATTTAGTTGACTTAAAACGTTTCCGTATTTAAGCAAAAAACGAATACATTTTGCAATAATAGGTCAATTTTTTTATCAACTAAGGAATAAGTAAGAGCAAAACAGTATCTTGTATATATTTCAAAGTTTTTTATTTCAGTTAAGGTTTATACATTATCCAATGCGACTGTACTTCTATCGCACATTTCAACATACAATGCCAGTCAGTCGCTGCTTAACCGTCAACTAGTATCATCCATTTTAATACATTTAGTATCAAAATAAATATCGTTATAAATCTGTAATTATTTGCAACTTACACAACTTTTCACCAAACCTTTATGTCGCACAGTTAAGGCAAAACCTACAAAAACGCCGTGTCACCTTCTCTACGCGAGTTCGGCTTTGCGGCCTTAATTTTGAGGTTTTTTAGTTGTACATTTATATGCGTATATGAATATAATATTTTATACAGACAAGTGTAGGAAGTCGATGAAAATTAACCACAATAACGGCGTTATTCAAGGGAGTTATCGACTTCCTTGAGAATAACCGGGTTCTGCCTTTCATTCGAGCATCGAGAGCCATATCAATATACACGATTTCCATTTAGTCTTATCTCAGATATAAGTTAATCATTGCTGCCTATCCAGGCTGCGCAGCACAGATTCAGACACACACATGTAGAAACGTGTGTAAGTGCGTGCGTTTATATATATATATATATAGCTGTACGGATTTCCATTTGTTCCGGTGAACATTAAAATCGAAAAAAACCATTGCGGAAACTATTCTCGACATCGTTTCCGTGTCGTTACCGGCTCTCGTGAGTACACTCTACCAATTTTCACCGTTGGAGCTAAAAACACCATTACGATTGTACCATAAGCTGACGATACGTTAAACTGACAGCTGTTTATCATCATTATTTTAATGAGTCAGTTTCAGTAAATGATGGACTGAGTAAAGAGATGAACAAAAAAAAAACATGGAAAAAAATAAGGTCGATTCATCGATCGATCGATGAGGCAGATTACTTTGACAACAGGCGCCCCTGCACAAACGAACAATCCGATAGTGACACTCAGTAATAATTGGTCGTTCAATGTATCATATTCGTTGTTTAATTCGAGCATTTGGTTCAGTGGTGTTATTTTGCGTTAATCTCTTATTCTCAGTCCTGCACCATGGAGGTATCTATACTGTTATGATATATGTAAGAAGTAATAACAGTATAGGTACCAAGCTGTGATTACAAGCGATTTTTCATCCTTAACTAGACCAGAAGTGTTCCAGTGAGACAGGATAATCCCAGGCAAAGCTATTCTTCATTAAAAATTCTGTACACTGATTCAGTTGGCAATGTTTTTTTTATTTCCTATTTATTAGTGCAGACAGGGTACAAATGCTAGTGTACCTTTCATTTTTCCGGCTAGTTAACCAAAAGCTCAAACGCCAAAGGGTATACTGAGGTACGGAACTTCAAATTTTGTATCGGACTGCATCTGCGTGTCTATAGTGGGAAAGTGTGACCAGTTACAAAACACCCATGAAGCACACCGCAGAACCGACGCTCAAGCATATTATTCACAACAATATCTACTCTGGAAGTTTGTTCAATCAAGGCATTTATGTATATCTGTATCATTGCTAGCACCTCACTATGATAGCATTGCCGTTTTGTATGATGTTATGCTTACCTTGACTGTCGAAATTTATACATTATTGATTGTTTAACAGTCGTCGACAGAAATTACCGCGGTGCCATACGCTGGCTGGTCAATCTTATCTTATCTGGTTATGAATTAGGTCATATATAAAAAATCTCTCGGCCTTTTTTATAAAAATAAAACGCTATCAGTTTACGGTAGTTGTAATATAATCTGGTAGAACTTCATTGGACCAATATTTGTAATCATAGTCATTTCAGCTAGCTCCCACAATATGCCTACATGCTTATATATGCCTACATTGATTGGATCCAATCTTATTTTGACGTTTCAACAAGCGGAGCAACAACTTGAGCCAGCACACAGGCGTAACTGACGTTGTAAATTCAAAATACGGATCCATCTCAGTGACAACGGCGTCATTACAAAATATGAAATAATCGTTTTGACAGGAGTTCGCAATACCTTTCATTGCAATTTATGAGCGAACTTCGTGTGGATCAGTCCAGACTACCATATTTCACTGATTCTGTTTGTGTTTTCGCTCACGACAGCATCGCTGACCTTCTTCATTTGCTCGAAACGTTTCGAGCTGCTTACTTTGATCGATATAGTTACTGCTAAGTTGAGTTTGAATCAACCCTGTTAACTTCTGCTGCTGCCGCCATTCGTGATGGCAGCAACAGCGGGAAGCGTATGACTCCGGTTATGACTCTCACTGATCGTGTTGCTGCTGTTGATCCTGTTGTGAAGCTGCGATGAGGCTTGAAGCGAATCACAGCCGTCAGGTGAAGACACCGTTAACGCTGTTGTAGCAGAGCCCTCACTTGTCGCGGGAGTCTGATGTTGAAGATGACGGGGATCCGGCGTGTGTCGAGAGGTTGCCGTTGGTGACAGGTTTGTGGCCGTCGTGATCGGTGGTAAACCACCTGACGGCCGTACGACTGAGTCATCGAGATCCCCGACCTCAAGCTGGCGTCGTTTAACACGTACGTCTTCCTTGATCACCTCCCGTCGTAAAACCGACATTGCTGCTACTTTTATCGTAAACCTAAGGAGATAAGAAAGACAAAGGGCATAAGAGACAATGATCCGTAACATCGCGGTTCATAACACACAGGTGCAGGCCGGCGTGTTTAGGTCACCGAGATGCCATTTACCTGGATAAGCCTTTAAATGTGAATCCGACATGTTGAGAGTTGACGGCATATACTTTAAACTCTAGTAAAAGTTTGTTTTCGCGCTTGAGGTACGAAAAAAAACTGGTCGTAGATTCACGATTCTCGGATCAATTAGCCTTTCTAAGGAGGCTAAGGGGTGGCTAGCCCTGAGTTGAACTGGTTAAGGTTTCATTGGCTAGCAAGCACATGTCTATTATCGCGAAAATTGGTCGAGGTACTCAGTCCTGATACTAAGTACATTAGCCAATGGCAAATGCGTTCATTCGTTCGCAAAACATAATAATAACAACAAACTGGTAAGTCTGTCTGTAGCTCTTAGAGCATCCACCGCTGTGAACAACAAGCTCAGGTCAAATAGAAGCGGTCTCAGACGCTATAGTAACTTTTACACCTCTAGTCGATACGCGCGTCGCACCTCGATTAGCACAGGACGAACGAGCTTGATGGCATATTAACAAATTAAGTTACATGAGGTACACATCGCTTCGATACATAAGTACAGTACAACAAATTACAAAGCATTATCCATTACCATTCATCGATATATCACACAGAGGCTAGAAGAGATTCGAACAAGCTTTTATCAGAGAGCTTTTCCTATAAAGAAGATAAGACATACAAAACCTCAACACGTCTTATCGTAATTACATAATTGCTATAAGTGCATAATATTTTTGTTGTGTGTGCCGAGGCTTTGACCAGCGCACCGAAGTTTTTTCCCGGCCAGGGATTTAGTTGAATATACGAATCGATGAAATCTAACAATTCGCGTAAACGTAAATTATCAGTCCCAAAAAAACGGTTTTTACTACGTAAATTGTAATACTAATTTCATACAATGTAGTACTTCTAGATTAGTTCAGAAACGGAAATATAATTCGCAACTTTTTCATTAATACACAAGAAAGCGAGCTCGCCGTTCTAGCGCACCTGTCGTATTCCCGAATGAGTTTGTTTACCGTGCCTCGGGAAACGTCTATAATACTAGTTCTGTTAACACATACTAAGACATCTCCCATGAAAAGACACTGCTTCTGTGATAGATCCATATATCGGCGACCATCAACCTGAAAATTATATAGAAATAACAGATGGCGTCGCATAAGGAATCGTGCAATATCGATGAGACGCGATAATATTCAACCTACTCATCGATGACAACGTTGACACTACTACTTTAAATTTTTTATAACTTCTCATTCATATTTAACATTTTGTTTACTTAAATCAATTTCTCGCATAAATTTCTATTTTTACCTTCAATCTCGAAATACACTAAAACAAATGGGTATCTCTTATTCGCTCCTATAGGCAAACTAAATAGATTTACATCGGCCATATTTTCTTTCGACGCAATATATACGTTTGCCGTATTCGGCTGAAGCTAAAATACGAACCTCGCTGATAACGTATACAGTGACAAACTTTTTCAGTTCGGCACTGTAACTTACTGTCGAAATGAACTTGAAGCCAACATCAACATGCAATCCGCAATACGATGGATTTCCGTACGCTTCGAGGGTTACCGTGCCGTATCGCTCGATCACCTAATTAAATAAAAAAAAAATGCAACAGATAAAGCTATTTCGCTCAATACTGTAACGTAACTTATCCCTTAACTTATCTTGCCTGTTGATGTATCTAGTTAATCTTACATCCTGTTTGTCACACTCTATTTTGTTGGCTTCTAGTGTCGCTGCCGAATATTGTGTGACCTATGAACTATAGCAAACGCCTGTCAATAATAACTTTTAAATTTTTCGCTCAGTGTAAGAACGCTTATAGAGCTGGTCTTACGTGTCTGTGTTCAACAGCTGAGGTAATATTTCAATATATTTTTACGTAGCCCAGAGAGAAACTTCGTGGGTACGAAACAACAACGGGAACGTACGGAATAAGCTGATTACCTGCAGAATATCCTTACGCGTGTTGGCTAGCCGGACGGGATTCGCTGTCACAACCTTTAGGAGCAGATTTTCGCCGGACTGCGAGATGAGTTCGCGTACTCTATCGCGGCTTTTGTGCTTCACACCCTGATCATTGACCGAGCAGATGACGTCCAATTGCACGCACAATGACCGATCAGCTGCGGAACGTGGAACAATACGCTGCAAAGCGGCGGAAAACAACAACAAATAAGAAAAATATAATGACTTGCCCGTATCCATTGAATACAGTAATTAAGAGTAGCTACTTATTTTTCCATTGACATACCATTGCTTCAAATATTTGGTTCAGTTTTATATAGCCAAAAAATCGGCTTTTTGGTGTATAGCGAGCCAATCGATCGAACTCTCTTTCCTTTAATTTACCTTTATGTAGACCCACTTTTTGCCGTCTTCAGCTATCACTTCGTCGAGGCTTAGGCCAAAACACCAAAAACGATGTGAAGACCAACGAGAGCCAAGCACAATAACGTCAGTCAGATCTGCCGTCGAATAGGTAAACGTGTTCGGGTTGTGTGCTGCTGCCGGGCCTCCGGCACCCCCAGGACCCCCCCCACCATGAAGCTCGATACATCTGCCGGCTGAAATAGAATTGAGCAGATTAGTTGATGATTTGTACTACAGCTTTGGCAAGCATTCAACTAAAAATACCCGTAAAAATATTTCTAACGTGAAAGAAAACCTAAAACGTAGATATGTTTGCTCTTTTTTTACTTCATTTGTGTAACTAACATACCTGTAGCTGTTTGTCTGGCAGCAATTTAGTGCAAGATAGCAAACAAGAATGACTTTGTATTGATATTGGAATTTTCGTAACAAAATGTGTCAAAAGTGTTTAGCACTTACATACTTAATGGCATCATTTTCTGTTTCTGCGGAAAAAAAAACAGCCTACTTTAAAGTGATGTCCGTCTGGGTGTTAGACACCCCTGTAGTGTAGAAGTTTGCTGTTTGTGTTACGCCTTATCTCTATTGAAAGAACCAAAATGGCTTAAGGCGATAAAGAATTGAATTTATTTAATTTAGCACTCCGAACTCCACCACATGAACAGCTGAAACGAAACTGTCTGTCGGCTCGGCTTATTTAACTTAGTAGTACGCACGTTCTAGACGGAGGTCAACAGAGCGAAATATGAGTATTTGATTAAATATATTCTATTGGTATATAAACAGCACTTAATCTCCTCGCTGCTATTAGAAAAAAAAGAATATTAATTAGCAAATGCTGTTACCTCACACTATGGGAAAGGGGCATATTTTTCTCCGAGTAAATAAAAATAGCGCAATTATAAGAGTTTAACGGGGCGGCTGATACACTTAGCAAAAATACTTGTACAGCCAGCTCCGCGATTGACGGAATGAATTACTGATTAAATGCAAAGCATAGAAACTATAGTACCGATGCTTTCCCTTAAATACACAAACAACTTGGATTGTGCACCATATCATGACAATATATGGTCACGAACCGCGTTTGAAAAGAGCTAGCTAGGTGCCGGCAAATATGTCGCCCATACATAATAATGGTTAGCCATGCAAACCTCTATGGCACAACTCCATTCTTGAAAAATAGCGAAACAGATCGAAAACACTTCAACTAGCCGCCAACTAGTAATCGTCATAAGTCAACTGAGCGACCATATAGCAGTAAGAAACAGCTGAACTTGCGCAGTGTTCTATAGGCCGGTTACAAGTAGTCACTACAAAATTGTCCGAAATTGGGTCTTTTACAAGAATGAGCATTACGTCTGAAGTTTAATGAAGTCACCTGAATTCGAGGAAGCAGCATGCAGGGGAGAAATGGTCGATGAAGGCGAACCGCAAGGTGAACCTGACGATCCACTATTGAGACTGTCCAAGCCTGCAAACAAAATATTGTCGAAAAACACCGCTACACTTAGTAATTTGTTAACAAATAAACCAGGCGGTGAATAGTTTCATTGTATTCCCTTTAATATACTTTACGATCCAAACAGAGACGATAGGTTGTACCACAGGAAACGATTCAAGTTAACTGTTGTTTAGAAATCTACAGCAGAAACATGTCGAGCCCCTTCAATCCTCTAAAAATCGTTTCTAAGATCAAGTAAGCTTCTTAGAATTTCCCAGCTATCTGCAAGTGGATGCTGCTATCGATATCTAGGCGATGATATGAAGGAAAGGTCGATTCGGCATAAGAGATTACAATGCTCAAGAATACTCCTTTGTAGCCCTTAAAGAGATCTAGGCACGGGTGTTGATTTCTACCCTCACCTACACAGACACGTAGGTATATGCTCGATGTTAATAAGATCTTATGTACCTTGATACTGTATCGTGGACTCGGTAACCGCTGGAGCTGCGTTGCCTGTTCTTCGTTGCAGTCTGTCTTTAAGATGGCGCTTCGTCTGCTGAATATAGTCCCATTTTGGGGACGATTCCTGAGAAGTCTCCAAGGTACCCGTTAGAGATAACGGTGCATGAGTAGGCGCCATGTCAAACCGCTTTTTTGTCTATTAACCTTAACTCCTTACTTAAGCGGACTCTAAGACATTGAAGCCCTAACAAGGAGCTAAGAAGCCCTTCATTTGAGCTTCTAAATGGTCTTTATAAGTAGCATAGTTATATAGTTTTAGATTTCTGTCCCGAACTCGCTTTGGTGTCGAATACAGGACTGAACAGGTGATGCGACACCGTGTCCTGTTTCGCCAATGTTCGTAAAACCCACTTCAACTGATGGCGACGAGTCTAGCTCGTAGTTCATGTGCGTCCGTTGGCGAACCTGCTTCTAATGCTCGCTTTAGTATATTTGATTTGTTAGGTAAAAGTAAACGTCGAAATGCGGCGCGGATCTTACCTCAGTGATTTGCATTGTTCTCGCTACGGGTCGTTGCTGTCTCAATAGTTAATCATCGTGTAACTAGGTCATATCAGTTGTCCTTAGGGATGCCACAGTGATCGAAGTGTTTACTATGACAGAGTAACGCGTTTCCTTTCTTGCACATTTTGTTATTTGTCTGTTAAATGTCCACCTTGTTGTAATGTCGAGGGCATCATCGGATAATCTTTGAGCAAAGGTATGACAATAGATTAATATTAATCTCCATACACGGCAGGAATAGCGCTAAATAAATATATGCATCAACACGTTTTTTCGATTGATTTGCATCTATACGTTCATAGTAGGGTGCTTATCGTAGTCGTACGAACCGGAGACTTGAAACGCACTTAGTCTAGGCTGCAAAGGAAGCGTCACTGGAGACGTCAAACACTAATCAAAACCGCAGCTTCATTTTTTCTGAGGAGAGAACCGTACGCCTTTCCTCTTATTACTGGTTCAGTGTAGCCTTGAAGTAAGTAGATGCCCGTTTCCCACTAAATTCTTGATGCGTCTTCACGACCAAACTGACTGCTGATTGACTAGCTGTAGTTACAGAAAAACACAGAGAGGAGCTCACGAAAGAGCGAAATATATTTTTGCCAACCAGCGAGTCTGTCAATTTTTCAATATTGCCTGTAATAAGAATAATAAAACAAATTAATCGTACAGTAATAGGCTACACGGGTGGGCATGATGGTAAGCTTCAATGGAATGTAATTGCGAAAAGTTTGTCCTTAACTAAAAAACGCACTAATTACACGAATTATATTTCTTCTGTTGATATACATCTATCGATATCTAGCGTTTGAAGTAAATGGTAATAAATTTCTTCGTTATGAAAGTATTGAGGTTGAGCGGTCTCCAAAATGATTTATTTATTGATATTTAAAAGGGTCATTCGCAAGTTGTCTAAATACAGATGTTGTCAATGTCGCCGAACAAGAAACTCGGGCAAACATGTATTGAAAATTCAAAACATGTCACTCACTCTGCTGAAAGCATTTTACGTGTATCAGCCTGAAAATCTTGAGTGAGCACAAAAAAGACAAAGACGTCAGTCCTGCATCGTTCCCCTTTTCGTCATCTAAATAGATAGCCTTAACTCAGATATACGATATAGTAGTGACAATAGGAAGGCCGATGAAGGTATAGTTCTAACAAAAATTGGAATAATGGCGCCATTCGGCCTATATCTTAACGGACGCCGTTGCACCCTGCCTCATTATGGAGCAGTTATCCTTGTTTTGCAGCTTCTGTCACAGTGAACCCGCTGCAGTGGTCAAACCATTCCGCATAATTTCAATAGTTCCGTTATTTTACTTCAGTTCGTTAATTACCCTAAGCCAGATATCCTACTTTGTTCATCCTAGTACCTTATAAGAATTACGGTACTCTGTATCGTGTGCCATATGCTCTTTTTGCAGTTTAGCCGTTCGTCTGAAATCGCTGATCCATAACTAACTTTCGGATACTGCGGACACCATCTCAGAGTGACACCAACCTAGAGTTCCATGACTCAGAGAGAAAATAGAATAACCATATGGGTGTATCGATGATTTTCATAATATTCATGACCGTATTTTGGCAACATACTACAATATGTTCGACTCCATGATAAAAATAGAAAGGGATCTTTTTTTTTTTTTTCTAGAAAACAACTTTCGTACCTATTTTTATATAGTTCGGCGAGCTGAATCGTTTGCCAATTTTTTTACCGTATTGATAACTGCCAAAAATAGTGCTCCTTTTTTAGTTTAAATTAAAATCTGCCTGTATATTCCTACTAAAACTGATTTTTCCCAAAGATGTCATATTCGCCATAACCTAACGAAGCTTCTAGCTGCCTAGAGAACAGGATAAAAATGTCGCTTCTTTTTCTAACTTTAACCTTCAACCGTTATTTCTACTGCAAAAGCACTGTATGTGTGGGTGGCAACTGCCAACGCTACTAGCGGAACACGCGCTACTACTGCGAGAAGCTCTGACCATTTCTGTTTGCTTCTGACCAATTCGTTCCATTGAATTGTCAACTAACTGAACTGAACGTAGTTGCCGCTATCGGTCTTCATGCCCTACGACTTGCTCTAGCCATGGCTTTCCCAATCGTCGTGCCGTATGTGACAACAGTCGATTCCATAAAGTACAAAGCCCATTCAACGCTTGACATTGACGTTTTGCCTTAAACGTGTTTCGACTGAGCCTGCGTATAAAACGCATGTACCCTTGCGGAATATCAAACTCCAAAAAAGCAAGTTTCAGAAAAAAGACTGTGGCAATTTAATTACTGTAAGTACACTTAACATTTGCGACAACGAAGTTTGAAGACCTTAAACGTTTCAGCGGGAACTTCTCTGCTACTGTATGAGGCTGCTAGTGCAACTCGACGGTCCGACAGTTCGGATACATTTCAGACTCTATCGGGTACAGTTTGATATACCATTCCCGAGTACATTCTCGGACACCCTGTGCTAGCCAATATGCCGTGTCAGGCCACTGATTATTATTCACACACGTGTCATTTTTATTAAGACTGCTTGAAACAGCTTTTCATTTTTAGCAATTATCGCTATTATTTAAGGATTGATTGTATCCATGGGAAACGAAAGTAAGGTTCATGAAGACAGCTTGGTCGTGATACTGCTACTTCTATTGCTTCATCTGCCGGATATTTTAACCTGAACAACCAAAGTAAGCAAATAAAAATATAAGCACGTTTGTTCTAACCAAAGCGGATCGACATTGCGTCATCAACTGATCTCACTGTAACAGGCTACAAAACAACCGCTCAAGGCCGTCAATCAAAGTTTAATAAAACTGAGAATCTATTTGAGACTCAGCAATGCGCTAAATGGAAATGAATCAAAATGTATTTCGAGTATTTCTTATAATTATCTTATAGAGCACAGCGCTTTTGCGAAACCAAAAAAATTTGTATATCCGCTTAATATGGTAACTTACTTAGGAGATGTTTTCGTGATCTTGATAGATAGAGTCATTTCAATTTTACGATTTGTCTCAAAAAATGCCGTCGCTTCTTTGCGACTATAAATACTTTGTATTTTATATTTTTACGTTTATTAAATACAATTTTCGGATAAATTCGGTAACCTTACATTTCAAACCCATTAACTTCGAACAAAACCTTGTTGTGGTTCAACTAAGCACATAAACCAACATTGAGGACAAATTCTTCTATAGCTTCGCTCTAGTTGTTTCAGTACATAACCGGTGCGCGTCGTCCTTCCATTAGGTTAATCTGTTTTGCCTTGCAATCTTTACAGATGGATTTTCTTTAAACGCTGCACAAAGCACTGCTCTGAGTAATATGTCCGAGTTTGTCTTGCAAGCGGTCCCTGTTTTCCGTGGCCAATTCGTTGAAGCTACAGCAAAGCCAATTTAGGTTAGGTCGCGCATAACCATTATCTCCTGTGGCATAAGTTTGTTCAACTTTATTTTACATAATTCTTTTCTAATAATGATTCAAGTGACCCTTATCAGTGCTGAGTGGTAAACGATAACAATTAAATCCTGTTTTAGATCTTATCGCTTGTCATTAGCGAATAATAGAAGGGACCTATCGATGCTTAGAACACAGAAGCTATTTCGGACAAATCCTAAATAGATACATCCATAAACCAGTTAGACTTCTCCCGCTGTGCTGAACGCATCCAGCACAAACACAAAAAAACTATTGTTGGCCACTTCTTATACTGGACAAACCTCGTTGCGCAAACCCCTGGCCTCTCAGCTTCCTTTTTTCTACAGAGATTCTCTTCTACTTCGTTATCGTTATCTTCACAGGTGACAACGAATAATTGGTGGAACACAAAGAGTACAAATGCGTTCACATACATATTCTAAACAGATACGTATAGCCAATGTTTTTGCTTAGTGCACACATTGGCAACGCCAGACCGTTAACGTGCCTGCCTGAGTAGTTGTTATGATAATAGCATCCAGGGGAGCTTTCGTAAATAGAAGATATTTACTTAGGTGGAACTTATCAGTATTCCTGAACTGAGCTGAACTCTTAATACCACAGTGCTCTCACTCACAAAAATAATAGGCAATAAGTTAAAGGGCGCTAAATGGGGCCGCCGGTTAGCTACGGATTGAACTGATTCTAGATATGTATAATACAAGTAAATATAAAAAATATTAACAGGTTTTGCATACATTACCCTTTACGCTATCGTTTAGCTTCGTTTATTTCGAACCATCGTTATTTGAGCTACTTACCAACTGCCCATTGCACAATGATAAAATCATCGTAATTTGCCTTGAAGAGGTAGACGCTGGAATATAGTACTGATCATGACCATCCACTGGCCTAAACGGATTAGCAAAAAACCAAAGTGTCCAAACGCGTCCCGATGAAATAATTACATTCAAGCAGATAAGTAAAAATATCGTCCGCCTTTTTGAGTACCAAAAACTGACGCAGTAACGAAGGTCACCGACCAGATCTCTCTAGTACTACTAAGATAGACGGCTATTAAGATTCACTGATGCTCACCACATATGTATAACCTCTTTTTGTAAATCTATTTTCGACAGCGCTACTTGGTAGACTTATGAAATATATTTAGAAGCTAAGATTAGTTCATTAGCTAGAATGGGAAGGCATGTACACAATCAAATATTATAATACTGTGGAAGCTCGGTGGCATAATTACTCCGTTCCTAGAAATTATTTCCTATCTTTCCTTGCAGTCTTTTGCATTGCACGACGCAATGTTGGTTATGGTCACGGATGAAAATTGTATTTGGGAACCGTGTTATTAAAGGCCTTGAAGCTTTACATTTTATACAAGAAAGCGATATGTGAGCGATATATTCAGTCATCTTAGCAAAAAAAATCATTTATCGACAAATGACAATAAAAAGCTGTTCGCTAATCGTTGTTGGAAATTGGTTTTCGATCGGTTCACCCAAGATATAATGGTAAATTAGCAGGTTGTTCTGCTTGTAGCTCCTAACTGCTCGGATGCCTTAGGTTGTTTCCCCGTGCTGTTCTCAAGTTAATAGCTTCCACTAAACAAGGCCAGAGATGGGACTATATCAAATGTGGCAATTATTATTTCCCCATCTTTTTAACTTAATTGGTTTAGAGCTTAAAGGGATTAAATGATATTTTTGGTGCATGACGTATCATCCTTTAGACATATTCGACTGTAGCGCTTCTTCTTGTGATTGTTTCAGTAACCCAGTGATAACAGAGGAACTTCAGCCTATTGTCTTTAATTTATCCACCGGAGAGAAGGTTTCACACACACATTATTTGACTAGGCCAGATCTTGGCTTGTGGCGATTCCTTGCGATTTCACATACATCTCATTAATATATATATAGCGTAATGTTGATTGCAGTTGTGTGAATCAACGGTACAATTAGATTATAACTGGCCAGTTTACAAAATTCAACTATTTCGCCGATCTAAGTTGTTTCGTCCAAGATAAATTTGCACTGCGTCAGTACCAATCATTCTCGACTTTTGACCATTACGCATCACTTAAGCACTGCCAGCGGCAGCAGTAGCATACATGCGGCTGTCGTTCGCTGCCTCTCCCTCCCACCTTCAGGTCAACAGAGAGGCCTTGTACTGCTTACTGCATACAAAAGAGGGTCCATTC